ATAAGCACCAACAAGCTGATCCTTTATAGAAAGCAAAGCTATTCTGTCAGTTTCGTTCCCCAAGGGCGATGCAAATTTCAGGGATCCTGGTAGAAATAAGCTGAGTACAATAACAAAGCAAACAAACAAGTTAATGTCATGGATGCATATGTTTCCTAAGAATGATTTACCCATTTTCTTTGAAGAAAATTAGCTTGGGAGAGGAATTGAATTCAGCAACAAGCAGGCTTAGTTACTGTCCATGTCCTCCCAATTCTCTTACCACATCTAAAAAAGGATTCAGAATTGGTTGGCTAGGCCCTGGCAGCATCGCTAAAGACTACTCCTTTGCCCCACCTGGAAATTTCATCCATGAGAGGTCCACATGGAAGATTGGAACGTTGGAAAAAATAACATTGATTGTGTAAGTCTTCTCCCAAAAAGGACAGGTCTTCGCTACAAGAAAACACTCTGAAACTGAAATTGGTCTTCTCTTTTGTTTTTGACTTTTCAGACAAGACAAAGGAACTACACTTCCAAGAATTAAATGAAATTTTGTACTTACATGAATCTAGACCGCTTTTAGCGCGAGTATTTCAACACTGATCACTTTCATTATAGTTGACGTAACAGATACCGTCTAAGACGGTGGTCAAGAAAAACTTGTCGTTGGCTGGAGGATATGTAGGCTCCAGCTGCATGGACAAGACTTCCATTACTAAAAGGGCAACTACATTGCAAGCTAAATAATACTAAATTATTACTATTAAACTATATTCTCATAGCTTCAGCTGCATAAATGTTACTACAAGAGATACGTTAAAATAATAAAAAAAAGTTTCTGAATTATATGCTTTTTTACAATTAAATTTTGTTGAAATATTCAAGAATAAAACTAAATACTTTCAGAGGAAATCGAGCATAAAGAAGCAGAACAAGTGGAGCAACAAAGCTTCTGTATATTCCTTTCAAAAAAAACAAATCTTCTGTATATTAACAATGGAGGCCACAATAGTTTTCAACAGGAAAGAGAAAATTATACGACAAGGAATAGTTGTAGAGATGGGCCACGTTTCATGCCCTTTCTCCCTCCCTGTACACTTAGTGGGAAGCTAATGACATACACGTGGTTCGGCTTTTGACAAAATAACTGTAATTGAAGAAAAAAATAAAAACTTAAAGATTCAACAAAGTTTTATATTTTTATCTTACTTAATCAAGTTTTTTTTTATTTACAATCTAATTGGTCAATCTTATTCTTTTATTTTATCTAATTGAATACTTTTTTTGAAATCAAAGAGTAATTAATTTTATATGCAGTGATAACTTCACATGTATATAAAATTTTTCTTGAGGTGCTTACCAAATACACTAAAAACTAATGATAAGGAATTTATTGTGATGTGATAGGTCATATCATCAGTTCTTATTGTGCTTAATCAACAGTCTTGCCAAATTTCATATATACATAAATCAATTGTTGAAAATAACATTTGTTTTATTATTTGTACAAGAGTTTAAGTAGGTAAAATAAAAGAATAGATGCTCAACTTAGTACAAATATAAAAAAAATAATTGAAAACCATAAAATATGAGAATAAAAAAAAATAAAAGGGT